TAAGTATCAATATTAGATCTGAAAGGCAAATCACATGTGTATACACACACCCACAATCATGTGCATGCACATGCATGGCACACGTGCGCACACGCACACACATTCTTTGTTCCCTATAAATGCTCTGAACCTTGCTCCCTAAAGTAAAGCTCCAGTTACTAGTCACATAGTCTTAAAAAACTGAGAAAGAGTCCCATAGTTTTTGGCTATAAACTTAGATAAAAGACACTTGACACAGTATCATCAAACGTACGCACAGTGGTCCTGGGGCTGAACGATCAGTGCTCCCCCCGTCGCAGTGGCCGCAGGCTGCAGCCAGACACCCAGAGTAACAAGGAGGTCAGTCCTCTGCCTCCGACGGACCCCCGGTGTGTTGAGGTCTATGTCTAAATTCCCTTTTGACATAGCCATGCCTTTCATGATTATATATAATTCAAACATCTATATTCATGAGCAAAATCCAATAACCCCCCCTCATTTTTTTAAATCCTGACCTAAAGACATGCTTAGAGGGAGGAAGGGAGTGGGGGGAGAGAAACAGCGATGTGAGAGAGAAACATTGGTTGGTTGGTTACCGTCAGCACGCACCCCAACTGGGGATCAAACCGGCAACCTAGGTATGTGACGTAATCTGGAGTAAAACCTGCAGCTTTTCAGTGCACAGGACAACACTCAACCAACTGGGCCACTCCAGCTGGGCCCCAAACCCTTTTGATCATTACAATTTTCCTTCATGTCGTCTTCAGATCTATTATCTTTCTTTTATGTTCTCTAACCTAAGTATGACAAATTATTTCTGTAGATATTTTCATTTTGTTTCTAAAATGTTTCCAAATAATAATCATCAGGTTGTGGGCACTTATATTTCTTTTCTTTGTCACAGTGACAATATTTTTCCTAACTGATCTGTTGAGTGACTACTTAGTAATTTTTTTTTGTCTCAGTGCTACACTTAATTGTGTTTTAATCAATATGTGCTCAGCAATACATGCTTCGTACAACAGTTCTTTTAATCACTCAAAAGTTTAGTCCATGCCCTGGCTGCTGTGCTCAGTGGTTAGAGTCAGCCTGTGCACCAAAGGGTCTTGGGTTCAATTACTGGTTAAGGGATTGCGGGTTCAATCCTGCCGCATGCAGGAGGCAACCAATCGATGTCTCTCTCACACTGTTATCATCAGTCTCAAGATAATATTACTTGTTGATTAACCTGCTAGAACTTCACTCATCTGAGCCTATGAACAAACCCTGATCTTATAGTTTGTTTCCGTACAAGCCCAGGATTGATGTGGTCCAAATACGATCAAATCTAAGTGGATGACTTCTACATCCTAAGTTATTCTGAGCGACCAAAGAACAAACTGCCAGTACCATGATACAGTGCACTGTTCAGTATACAGCACAGCAGAGAGATCTGGACATCTATACCTAGTTCTGATTCAAACATCTATGTGGTTCCAAAGAGATAAAGTGCCAAGTCAAAATGCTTTGATTATAAAGAATTTCATTATTAAAAGCTGATAAAGTCTTCAGGAGAGAATGTCATCTGGCCTCCTGAATCAGGAGGCAGTAAATAGCACCATTCTTTGATTACAAATTTTAAATGGCAAAATCTCATCTATATTAAGTTCCATTAGAACAGGTGAAGAAGGGCTACTTTCTCTACATTTTGTTTTTCTACTGTAGTATTCCCAGTAAAAAAAAAATCAGTATAGCACTTTCTTCATTGTTGTGAAACATAACAAATGTACCAAATGATGTAATTAAAGCTGGATGTTAATATTTTTGAATTCTCCCCCAATCTAACTATCTAGATCATATCCACCTCCAATTTCCTTTTCATGAGGATTGCCTCCCTCATAATATGACAGGAAACAATTAAAAAATGAAATGTGGCCCTGGCCAGTTTAGCTCAGCGGTTAGAGCGTCAGCCTGTGGTCCAGAGAGACCCAGGTTCGGTTCCCACTAAGGGCACGTGCCTCGGTTGCAGTTTGTCTCCAGCCCCGGTTGGTCATGTGGGTGGCAGCCACTCGAAGTGTCCCTTTCACGTCGATGTTTCTGTCTCTCTCTCTTCCTCTCCCTCCCTCCCACTCTATCAGAACAAGAAATGAAGAAATGTCCTTGGGCGAGGATAAAAAAAACAAAAACAAAATGTGCCTGGCCAGTGTGGCTCACTTGTGGAGGGTCGACCCATGTACCAACAGGTCACTGGTTTGATGATTCCCGGTCAGGGCACATGCCCAGGTTGTGGGCCCGCGCCCCAGTGGGGGGCATGCAGGAGGTGGCCAATTGATGTTCTCTCTCATTGATCTCTCTCTCTCTCTCTTTCCCTTCCTCTGTCGCTAAAATCAATAAAGAAAAATTAAAAAAAAAAAACAGAATGTAAGATAGAAACTTTAATCTTGAAGCTAATTTTAAGACAAGTATCTTTGTCTATTATTTATAGATCCAAAACTAAAATAAATGGAATAATCTTAATCTGAAATTGGTGAGACTACTTGTACAAAGATATAAATTTGTTGTTTTCCTTAAAAAAGTAATAGTAAATATTGGCGAGAACTAAGTTCAGAATGTAATCTACATAGGTAAAAACTTGAAAGCAGACTGGTGCAGCTACAGGATAAAGTTTCCTCAAAAAATAAAAAATGGAACTGCCATATGACCCAATGATTCCAACTTCTAAGAAGCCCGAAACACCAATCAGAAAGAATATATGCACCCCTATGTTCATAGCAGCACTATTTACAATAGCTAAGATCTGAAACAGCCCGAGTGTACATCAATAGGTGAGTAGATAAAAAAGGTGTGGTACATATACACCATGGAACATTATGCAGCCGTTAAAAAAAAGATCTCTTGTCCTTTGAGACAACATGGAGGGACCTGGAGACTATTACGCTAAGTGAAATAAGCCAATCAGAGGACAAATATCACATGATCTCACTTTTATGTAGAAGCTATTGGACAAAATAAACTGACAAACAAAACAGATCCAGAGACATGGAAGTAGAAAACAGACTGACAAACCTTGGTGGGAGCAGGAGGTGGGGGTGGGGGCAGAAAGAGATAACCAAAGAACTTATATGTATATACATATAACCAGTGGTCACAGATAATAGTGTGGTTGAAGGCAGACCAGGGTAAGGGGGTGGTGGTGGGGAAGAGGGGGTCAGTGGGGGAAAAAAGAGGTGGACATCTGTAATACAACAATAAAGATACATTTTTATAAAACTGAAACCTTGAAGAAAATAAATGATACGCTGGCCTGCATTACTAAAATGGCTTCTCTGTATCTTCCCTTACCTCCCTGTAGTTCCTTCTCAGCAACGCAGCCAGATTATCTTGTTAAAATCTAAGTTAAATTATATCACTCTTTTGCTCAAAATCCTCCAATGGTTCCCGATTTCATTCAGAATGAGAAACAAAATTCTTAAAATAGTCTTTACAGACTTGATTACAGGGTCTCTCACAATAATTTGACTCCATTTCCAAACCCCAGATCCAAACCTTCCTGATCGTACTCCTGCGTTGTCGCCCAGCCGCTCTCTTCTCCCCCAGGCGCTGTGGTCCTCGGGTATTTCTAGAACATGTCAGGCATCCTCTTGCCTCATGGCCTTGGGACTGTGGCCTAGAAAGCGCTTCCTTCAGGCAGACACTTGGCACCTTCCCTTCCCTTCTAAGAATCTGCCCCGTGGCAGCCCTCTCTCCTCACAGAGGCCGCCCGCTAACCTCTTTAAATAACTACACGCATCCCGCTCCGAGCTCTTTATCCCCTTCCCTGCTCAGCTTTCATCACAGCATTTATCACCTTCTGAGACACTGTGCACTTCACTTGTGTATTTAATAACTGTCTACCTCCCCAACTAGAATGTTAGCTATACAAAGGCAGAGGCGTTTATATCTTTTCCTTAGCACTGCATCCCCAGCACCTAGAATCCCCCCCCCACAGAGCAGGCCCTAATTAAATAGTTGATGAATTAGTGAGAAAAAAATTCTAAGCAGCCATAGTGAGCAAATGTGTTTGCTTTCCTAAAGTAAACATTTAGATTCACTAGTTATTTTTTTAAAACTTAATTTATAGGTGGTATTTCTAGCCTAAGATCATTCCTTTATATAGCAATGTTACTACATATAGCAATGTTACTTGATTATCTGAATATAAATTTTCTCGTTTAGTGACATCCAAATAAAGTACTAATTTACTAATAAATTCAGTTATTTCCAGGCAGCAAAATCTGTAGGACATGTAAAAATCCAAGGATGTCTTCCTAGCGATGCCATGGAAAGCCCGTGAGATTGCCGAACTAAATGGGAAGAAAGGGAGCCTGACTCACTTGAGCCAAATGCACCTGTACCAGCAGCCAGTTGCTCTGCAGCCACTGAACGGTGGGTAACCCATGAGAACAGAACCGTACGCAGGAGAACAAATGCATAGAAACAACAACATTTTGGTGATGTACAATATGAAATTAATAAAATGGTTAATATACTTTAGAAAATAGAATTTAATTCAACGGAAAGGTTCTGTTCTTACGGTCATTTTAACAGCTTTAATTGAGGAAGTTTCCGTGTCTCTGGCCACCAGGAAGCCCAGAACTAAAACCATGCCAGCACTAAGTAGGAATCTGATGACATGTGTCCCGGTGCACGACCTCACCCCAACTCCACCTTACTGTCCTGCTCTGATCTTGACTCATGCACTTAAAAAACCCTATTGTACTGTGTGCATGTTTCTTTAAATGCCTTTAAATAAGGCTCTGGAGACAAGGCAGGGGATAAATAAGTAAATGAAACATTAAAAATATAAGATTTCTAGTAATAATAAAAATTTAACTAAAAGGTTTCTTACTTAAATTCCCTGGATTTAAAAACATAGATTTTAATGTTATTTTTAACTTTATCCTTCCCCAAAGACTTGATACGTGTCTTTGCTAGATTTTTCAGAAATTCTGCTAGACTTCCTCATGACATTTATAAGATTAAAGGACATTTTTTTCCCTTACCGATTCAACTAGTGATTTTGCTTCCTCTTGAGTGCAATGGAAAGGACTATCACACACCTGCACATTTGTGCTGCAAATGAAAAGAGAAGGTTATTAGTACACAGGATAAAAAAAGGAGCAGCTACCAAAAAGAAAACCAGCTCCAAATGCTCCACGATGACAGTATGATTCTAGCCAGTAAAAAGGGCCTGAATGAATATAAATTTGGACAACTGAGATTCTTGTACATTCTTGCAAACAAGGTTATAAATAAAGGTGTTCTACAGCACTACACTCTCCAGAATTCAAAATAAAATTATATAATAGTATACAAATCTAAATAAATAACATCTTGTTATATATAAAAGGCTAAGCTAAAACTACACTTCACCTTTACTGAAGGAAAGAAAAAAATAAACTGACCCATAGAATGAGGACTATAAGGAAGAACTTTCCTCTGAGTGAGATGATAAACATTGTAATTGGCTACTGAAAGATACTGTGGCATCTCTTTCTCAGAAAGGGATAGAAGACTAAGATAAGAGTGGTGAGAGAAAACTATACAAATATGAAAACTTGGTTTTCTTACAAGCAAGGCATTAAGACAGCAGCTCCTTCCATGATCAATAAAGGCTTTATAAAGTCAAAAGCCTCTCCATGCACTGGGAAACAGCATGCTAGCTACCCAAGCATGCCACCGATACCTACTCCCAACCTCCGACATGAGAGCAAAGGCACCAGTACTCTCAAACACAAAGTTCATCAAAGAAATCAGATTAAAATGGTTACAGAAAGAGGTGGTAAAAAGAGTTAAAGCCCAATTAATTTTTTTAATAGAAGGAGAAAGTGATTAGCAGATTCCTAGAGGAAATAACTAGTAAATGAGACACACACACACACACACACACCCACACACTTGCCCTCAAGTGGACCTATGGGATATACATTATCAAGTTTATCTTTGCAATAGTTTGTGAGATATGTCGGGCTATATATGATAAGAAGATCTATTTATTTATCTTTTTAACCACCTCTGTCTATAACCAGATATTGTGTATATGATAATTATAGTAACTGGTCAGTTTGCTTTCCATCCGGGCTCAAGATGTGGGATTTATTTTCATTCTTGACGTGAATTAAACTGATGAAAGTTGACAGTATCATCTTTAAGACTGAGCTGTTTTTTATTCTCTTCTCTACATCCCATGTTAAACTAAAAATTAAAAATGGTAAAGCCTTATAAGCTAGATGTTTCCCTAAAGAAAGTCAAAACTAAATTTAAAAAGAACAAGGCAAAAAATGAGACATTGCAAAGTCTTCAGTGCTAGTCCCCTGAAGAATGCATGGTGTGCAGTAAATATGTTATATACAATGTTTCTAACATTAAAACTAAACCATCTCTAGATGCAAGGGGATACAATATTGAACCACAGGGCCCCTATGGAGCTTACAATATTTAGGAATCATTTTAGCTCTCAAACTTGACTCTACAAGAGGAGAAGCGGAAAAATCATTTCAAGGAAAGAGGGCTAAGCTGATGGTGTCTACTACAAATGAGATTAAATATGACTACAAAAATGTGCTGCTTTCCTTTTTATAATAATAAGATACCAAAATAAACAGAGCTGACATTAGAGCAACAGAGGAACAATACCAAAAATGCTGTGCACAACAAACCCAAATTGCCTTTAAAAATAATAAAAAAGGTACATTAATAGATACATGATAGTGCACAAGTAACTGATTAAATAAAAAGAATTAGAAATAAAAAATTACCTGCAAATAATAAACAGATACATAAAAGATGAAATGTATGGCCAGCAATAGAGAACTTTAGTAAAGAGAAATGATTTTTTTCAAGACAATCTCAAATCAGACAAAGGCTCAGACTCATGAGAATCTTCAAAGATAGTGTCCAGGATATAGATTTTCCCAGGCTTTTCATTCTACAGCAAAGTAGTCAAGAAAAAAGGAAAGAGGAAGGGAGAGAGAGAAGGAGGGAGGGAGGGAGGTAAGGAGGGAGGGAGGGGAGGAGGGAAGGAGGGAAGGAAGGAGAGAGGGAGGGAGAGAAGGAGGGAAGGAGGGAGGGAGGGGAGGAGGGAAGGAGGGAGAGAGGAAAGGAGGAATGGAGTGAGGGTGGGGAGAGAATGACAATGACTTTAGACTATAACCTCCAGAGTCTACAGAAGAAAAGTGACTGAAGTAAATCTACACAAAGTTAAAAGAACTGGAGCCATCTGTATGAGATCAAATAACCTTCCTCTGGAAAGGCAAAAAGAAACGATTTTAAAACCTAAACAATCTGGACATATATATTTTTTCATTCAGTAAGCATAAACTACCTATATGTGTCAAGAGCATAAAAAAGAAAAAATAATAAACCGCTCTAAGTTCTCCACAGAGGTGTGTATAGCTGTGATGTAAGAGCCCGGGTGAGGATACAGTTTATTCTGTCCAGAAAAAAACAAAAATTCTTTGCAGAGGCGACATCTAAACTGCTTCTTGAAGAATGTCATTCAGCAGGAAAGACGATGAGATGAGGGGACAGACCGTGAGGCTGACACGCAGGTTCGGACACACCGCTTCGTGTCCAGGAGAGCTGGGCCATCTTCTATAACTGAAGGGAGCCACATCAAGTTTTTCAGAATAAAAAGGACAATCAGATGTGTATTTTTCGAAAACTATTCTGACAATACTGTATAGAGCATATTAAACAGAAGAGTAGCTACAATTTATGAGTACAAAACAATTTATGAGTACAAAAGTGGTAAGTAACTGAATTAAAGCAGTTTTACAATTAGAAGGGCATTTGAGAATCAGTGGAAACTTGGAAAATGTGCATCACAATAAATAATTGTTAGTGAAATGAGATAAAAATAGTAAAATGAGCGGTACATTTGAGATTTCTTAAAAATTAAGGCAGATAAATAAACTGTGGCTGAGGAGAGGGTGAGAGGCATTGAAGAGTAAACCCAAATGGCAAAAAACTGTATTTCTCCTATAACAGAGTTTAAAGTTCTTTTAGGTAAGAATAAAAATAATGACATTCCTTATGTTAATAGATTATGTAGTTTTCAGAGTAAACTGAACAGTGGGGAAAAGAGTAAAAAATCCAGAATGTACTGTGAGAAAGATAACAACTCAAAACACCAGGAAAGAATGTAATTAAGCGCAGTGCTCCTGGAAACAGAAGTCACCAAGTACACAAGTACTTGTTAGCTTTAAGATATTATTCAAGTTTACCCCAACGGCTATTTATTAAGTAGCTATTACATGACCGGTGAGAAACAAAGATCATGAAGGCAGCTTTATACATTTGCTTTCAAGCAACTTCTAGAGGACACAAATCCATAAGCGACAGCCCCCTTATCTGCAGCAGCCAAGTCCCTAGACCCCCAGTGGATGTCTGAAACCATGGAACCCTACACACACTACATTTTCTCCTGTACACACATACCTATGATAAAGTTTAATTTATAAATTAAGCACAGTAAGAAATTAACAATAATAAAATAGAACAATTATAGCAACATACTCTAACATACACTCCAATAATAAAGGTACGTGAATGTGGTCTCTCTCTTATAACCCATCTGATAACCGAGACTGCAACTCAGTGATGGACGGGCGAGGAGCGTATACAGTGTGGGTACTGGACAAAGGGATAACTCATGTCCTTGGCTGGATGCAGCAGGACGGCGAGAGATTTCATCACACTACTAAGAACAGTGTCAATTTAAAACTTATACATCTTTTCTGGAATTTTCTATTAATATCTCAGGCCACAGTTGACTACAGGTAACTGCAACTGCAGAAAGCAAAACCACAGGTAAGCAGAGACTAGTGTAGTCAGTCACCGTGGTAAACGCACGGATGGGAACACACGGGGGCAATGCAGCACGGACTGACACCTCAGCTAGCACTGGGGCTACTATGGGGCAAGTTCCCAGGGCAGATGCAGTCACAACCAAGTCTAAAAAATGAGAAAGTTCACCCATTCGCAAAGCGAGAAGACAACCATTGCAAAGGACACAGAGAGTCATGGCCTTGAGCAGTAAGGCCGGGGTGTAGTGAGGAGTGGAAAGCAGGTCTCAGTTGCTGGAACAGGAAATAAGAGGCAAGAAGTGATGGGAAATAAGACCAGCAGGGGCCAAACCCTGGAAGGCCTGCACTGCTCTTCTGGAGGGAGTTTGGGTTTTATGGTTCATACCCAGAGGGGCTCATTAGAAGCCCCTGGGAAGCTTTTAAATAGGCAAAGGCTTGGGGATCCTAATTCACTAGGTTTACAAAAGGAGACAGTGCAGTTGGGTTTTCTGAGGTTCCCCAGGTGGTTCCGATGCAGTTATGAGAACTGCAGAGATAAAAAAAATGTGAACCTAACCTGAACTAAGTGGGGAAAACAGGTGAAAAGGAAGCAAAGGCAGTTTACTCATCAATAACATACATTTAAAGAAACTAAGAGAAAAGTAATTTATTCTCTAAGGAAAGGACATTCACTAAGGACAAAATAAATACAAATTTAACAAATGAATATATTTTACAGATCAAGTAGTGATAAAATGAAAGGTGAGTTAAAATTTTAAAAATTTTGACTTTACATTATTTAGACACATATAATTAATATCTAGAAATTTATGTCCTGATCATTGTTAACCTAAAATTTTATTTTGCTGTCATCTTTAAAATGGCAGAGGTATACTACAGCTATGAAGTGAGTAGACTTGGAATCTGGCTTAAATCCTGGCTCCACACGCAGTGTGACCTTAGGTCATTTAATCTCTAGGTGCTTTCCTCATGGGTACAATAAAGATATAATGATATAGCTTATAGGGTTCTTGTGAGTATTAATGATAACACACATAAAACACTTAGAACCTGGAAAATAGCAGAGAGTTCAATAAATGACAATTCTTACTAATGTAATCCTGATCGTTACTAAGACTATAGCACAATAACTCCAGAGCTTAGAAATAAAGTTACCCTCAGAGTAAAGGTAAGTAGAATCAGCACAGAAGGAATGATATCAAGCTGTAGAAAAATTAGCCAAAGTGATGGTCTCCAGCTGTGCAGCTGAGGAAGCTCGGGGAACACACAAGTCCATTGCGGACTGCAGAAGCTTTCCAGAAAGTATGATTAGGAAAGGAGATGAGTAAGAAAGCAAACAGCAAGCAAATACCTCTCTAGACAATTAGAGACCCCTTCTCTTTTAGCTCATCACTGTAATATCTGACTTAGAATTTCTGACCACGAAGACTAACTCAGCCTACTCGTTTCTAGGATAGTCAGGACTGGAAGCCTTTGTTGTTAATAAATTACACTGTTTTTTTTTTTTTTTTTGGATATTTTGTTCAGATAGAGTGGGAGGGAGAAAGAGAGAGAGAGAAACATCGACGTGAAGGGACACATCGAGTGGCTGCCACCCACACCACCCAACCAGGGCCAGGGACAAACTGCAACCGAAGTACATGCCCTTAGCGGGAACCGAACCCGGGTCTCTCCAGACCGCAGGCCGATGCTGTAACCGCTGAGCCAAACCGGCCAGGGCAATAAATTATACTATTTAAATTAGAAACAATGACTTAAGTTTTAAGACTAAGGTGAAAAAAAGAGTAGTTTGCATAAGGGGTAGAAAACAGGGAGGAGGAGATCAGAGTTGAGGGTGTTACATTAGCCTGCATGAGAAACAGAATCTGAAGCTATAATGCCCAAGCGTCACAGGTAAGATGAACTTCTTGATGACCTGGATAAAATATTCCTTGAGACTATTTCTTTCCTCCATCTGACTAATTTATTCTAGTGATTTCTCTAATGTCTCTCTTGATTCCAGACTTTATGCTCCAGACGAGCAGGGACTCTATTTACTGTGTTCAGAGCAGTAATGCTGGTGTCGGGTAATCCTGGTGTCAGGACAGGACCTAGCAGGAGACCCTCATCAGTATTTGCTGGGAGAGAATGGCTTCCCAGTTCCCCTCACTCAGAGAAGGGAACGATGGAGTGGGGTGGTATCTACTCTCAGGGATGGCATCTTGCTTCCAACAGTTATGCGTACCCAGAGTCAGTTCATGTCGGTTGTCCTTGATATTATTATTCCACAATTTAAGCAGTAATTATTATGCTCACAGATGAAAGGAGTGTGGGAAGAGAACTGTTTCTATCAACTCTAAGTAGGCTCTATAACTACTGAGGCTCTAAAAGGCCTTAATAAAGGTGAATCACTATAAAACTTGGTGTCAAATCAAGTGTGGGATAAGACAACTTTGAAAGGTTAGGAAAAAAAAAAGAACCCTACAAATCTATAAGGGGTTTTCATTGAAAGGAGTTTATGGATTATAGGATCTAATCTTTCTCATATATATATATATATATATATATATATATATATATAGATTGATTGATTTTTAGAGAGAGGGGAAGGGGGAGGGAGAGAAAGATAAAAACATTGATGAGAGAGAAATACTGATCAGCTGCATCCTGCATGCCCCCTAGTGGGGATGAGCCCACAACCTGGGTATGTGTCCTGACCAGGAATCGAACCAGCAACCTCCTGGTGCACAAGGCAAGAATGTTAAACTGAGCCACACCGGACAGGCTGATCTTTATTTTCTATTATACATTTTGTTAGAATATATATATAATCTATATGGAATCGATATAGAAAAGGTCTATAAATATACATTTAAATGTTTTAAAGTAAAATAAATAATTGAGTTATATATGTTACTATTGTTTGATTCCCCTGAATCCATCAGCTAGTGACCCAGATGTTGCTGGATAAAAAGGCTTTTACTGTTCTTATCAAGAAATGATGTGGTAGTTACAAGATAAATAAAATAACCATATGTTTGTATGTTGAAAAACTATTAATGTTTTTTACTCTACCTTTGCACTTACTATAATATATCATAATACTATTAATATTATAAATGCCCCCCTAAGCTATAAATCCCTTGAGAAATGATGTGTCAATTATTATTTTCATGGTATCAAGCACTTAGTAATGTCTTCCAAATAGGTACACTCTAAGTATTTCATAAGTGAAAAAAAAAATTGCAATTCTCTTTAAAAAAAAATCTGAGTAGTATTACTATATGACCGTTTATTGCCAATTAATAATAAAATAACATTACGTAGAAAAGACAAATTCTTACCAATTTATAGCCCCTGCATCACACTTTTTCATAAGCAATGCTTTCCAACATTCATGAGTAGATTTAATAACTTCAAGAGCAAACGCCTAGGTCCAAACCAAAAAAAAAAAAAAAAAAAAAGACACAGCAATCACATCATTATACTAACATAGTGCATTAACATAGTACACTCACATTATTATCTCTATAAGAACACAAGCTCTGGTGTGAGAAAAACTGGAGTATAAATTCTGGCACCCTTATTTACCAGCTGTTTGACTTTGGGCAAGTTACTTAATGTCACTAAATGTTAATTTCTTCATCTAGAAAATGGAACACAATGGGGTAATCCAATCAGGGGTCGGCACACTAGGGCCTGTGGGTCAGATCCAGCCTGGTACCTGTTTTTGTAAAGTTTTATTGAACACAGGTTTATATTTATACTTAATAATCCAATTACAAAGCACTCATGGTCTTAAGGGTTATTTTAATATGCCTTTAAGAAATACTGGGTCCAGCAATAAATTCTTGTATGGCAAAATACTTATTGTAAATTTTAGTTTTCGTTAACATGGTTTATTTACAAAACATAATTTATTTATTAGCACCCACATAAATGTTGGTTTATAATGTGTAATTCATACACTGGTAATAACTTTAAAAAAATATTCCATGTTTTACACTTTACCTCTTTGGCCTATTTTCTCCATTTGTGTCATATTAGAGATAGTTTATAATATTCTAATAGAAAATCCTATGACAGCAAGATAATTCAAGTGTTTTCTTAAATAAGCAGCTTAATTCAGTCATGGTAGAATGGGTACATAGGAGATAAGCCCCTATTGATTTACAATAATAACAAGTAACTGTTTCCTCTCCAGAAGAGTATATAGACAGTTTTTCTTCACAGATAATTTGAAGAATTAGACTCATCATGGAAACCCTCACTTTCTGAGATGAAAGAGATTATCAATAAATAAATAGATGGATACAGACATTCATCAATCTACTGATTTACTAAGAGAGATCTCCTGAAAAAAAATTTTAAGTATAAAAGTCAGTAAAACTTTTGTTATTATTCTATATACAAATATTCATATAAGAAACCCCCAAAGTGAGAAAATATTGTACAGCTATCACAAGGTACATTTTAAAACAAAGATTATCATCTTCACCTTGTTTTTGAACTCTCCATTAAAAGCGAATTGGTTTTCTGGTTTTCCCTCTGGCACCTTATAAAATCTAAACCAATTAAGCGTAGCTTCCAAATAACCTGGTTTGTACTTCTTAATATCATCAATATCTGTAAGTGAAGAAACAAGAAGGCTTTTTGTTAAAAATCAATTCCTTCCTATTAGGGGAAGAGCACTGAACTGAAGGAGTCGGAAAACAGGAGGTAGTCTGACTGGTAACGAGCAGCAGAAGCATCAACACACGTCCCAGCACGTCTGGACTTCCAGTTTCGCAGTGTGAACATTACCACTTCATTCTACAGACACTTCTTGAGCACCTTCAGACTCTCTGTTAGGTACAGTGGATGAGAACAACAAAGTTATTTTCCTCGAGGAACTCAGAGGTCTAGTTAAAGGAGGCAGACAGACAGATGACAAAATGAAGTAAGAAGATTATGTGAGATGTGCTTAGCGCTGATGTCATCCTGCAGGCAATGGAGGTCTTAAAGTAGGGAAAGTTACACCACCAAGGTCCGTGTTCTAGAAATATTAAGCTAAAGCAACACTGAAGATAGAAAGGAGAGGGCAGTACCCTGAATAGAACATACTGAAGTTGGATGAGAAAGGGTTCATGAACACATATACCAAATATTTAGTAAGTTTCTCATTCATTTTGTGTCAGACACTGCTCTGAGCCATGAAAGAGAACAGTAAATAGAGACGAATACCTGCCCTCATGCTTACACAGTTCAGAGAGACAAATGACAAATAAAGAAACAAATACATAATATGTTGAGTGGCAAAAAGTCCGATGAAGGGAAATGAAGCAGAGTAAGAATGAGGACAGGGCAATTTTAAACAGGATGATACATGGATGGATCACAGAGTTTTCAATTTCAAATTCTGTAATAATGTACAGGATTTAAGTTCTGTTACCATGTAAAGAGCTTAACCATTACATTTTGAGGACATTCATTTAAAAATAATTGGATATTACTGTATTAATCAACCTCCTCCCTTAAAAAAGGTTTCCAAGAAATGTATCCTTTCCAATAAATATCAATTCTAAAAGTCTGAGAAATAACTAGATAAAACTAGAAGTCTTTCCTCTCCACCAGACTGTGGCTTACGGCTTAATTTAGCATAGTTCTTCATGCATAATATATTATAGCAAATGACAAACAGACTTGGTTACATTGAAAAATTAGAAAGTTATAACTAAAAATGAAAGAAGACACCATGCACAAGGATAATTTAAAGATCACACAGTTTCAGATTTGCCCATCCAAGCCTTGTGGGAATCCCTCACTCACTACGCAAGCCAGGAAAAGGTAAGCATTTTGCATGCATGGGTTAGAAAAACAAGAATTATCCTTTTGCTTTTTATGCTTGCCTTTTGCCCGTTGTGTAAAGGTTTAGCAAGAGTTACATATGCCTCCAGAGGGCAGATGTTTCACGTAAGTGAAATGAGTGTGGTAAGGCAGACACCACAGGAATGGCAGAGACCATGGCAAACAGAAGATTGCCTATGCTCCTGATGGCACTCAGATTTAAAGTTTTACAATGTGTCAGTGGGCCACATATCTATCTAAAGTAATTCTGGTGAAAACAGCAGAAACATTACAACTAAGGGGGAAAAGAATCACTTGAAACTGAACATAGGCTATATTTGCTCTATCAATATGTAATTATTGATTAAATGATGAAAGAAGTTTAAGATAGTGAATTTTTTTTAGTATTATACATCGTAACCTAGGTCATAGAAGTCTTTGTCATGCCCCAAATATAACATTTAATAAATATTTCACCTGATACATGTTGTTTCATCTTCATCTCTGATTCTTTTTTGCTTATCTTTTTAAAAAGCTTCTTTCCAAGGTGAGCTATCTCTTGCTCGTTTTCCTACATTCTATCACTATTTTTGTGAAAAAATTTTTCTGCAAATTAGGTAATACTGAGTTCCTCCAAGTTTTATTATTCAGAGGGGGAAAAATTATTTTAATTCATTCAAGGTGAGCAACCAGAAAGGCACTTAAATAAGTTTCTATAACTTAAATCTGATTTATGACTTCATCCCTGTACCTTACCCAGTCTGCCATTCTCTGTCCCTGCGTAAACTTTATTTTTTTGATAAGTGATTTTCAATTTACTGACATCAAATAAAACAGAACAAGCTAAGTTATTCAATATCTATCTTAGTTTAGGAAGCTTTCTCTTCAGAGGTTATCAAGAGGAACTCTTAAGCAAAGACATCAATAATGATAATAATAATAATAATAATAATAATAAGCCCTGAAAATTTAATAATGCCAGCAAGAAGTAAACTCTCCAAATATAAGCTAAACTTTTCCATTCTCAATTAATTATATCTTGGGCAGGGATGGGGGTGGGGCTGCCAGATTTTCTCACACGCAGAAAAACAACCACCCAAAATTGATAATGAGCAATTCAAATATTTTTAAAACCTTGACAGCAAATGCCTCAAGATAAAATCTTATGTCCAATACCAACAGTCAGTTCCATGATTTATTCTGAAAATATGAAAAGTTCCACTTAAATCTATAAACTGATTTACAGTTTATAATTTATGTAAATAACCTCATTTGTCCCTCATAAAACTTGTGGGGGTTAAGAAGAATAAGCACATTCAGGTGAAACATAAGAAAACTAAGACAATGTAAAGGATTTGCCAAAATCGATCCAACTCATTCTTGGTAGACCCAGTGCAGCAGCCCCCACTTGTCTGTGTGGGAGCGTCCCAAGACCCCCAGTGGATGCCTGAAATCGAGGATAGAACTCTATGTGCATCCCTATGAGAAAGCTGAATTCGTAACTGTGGTGCAGCAAGTGATTAACAATAACAAACAGAATAATTATTACAACATACTGTAATGAAGCTATGTGACTGGTCTCTCTCTCTCAGTATCTGACAACCACTCTGGTAACAGCAGGTGGCAGGGGCACAGCACGTACACGCTCCACAGCGAAGGCTCGCGTCCTGGCCAGGACAAACGGGACAGCACGAGATTTCATCATGCCCTTCAGAATGGCATGCAATTGGAAACTTACAAATTATTGAATGCTGGAATTTTCCATTTCATATTTTTGGACTGCGGTTGACCGCAAACTGAAACCGCAGAAAGCAAAACTTCGGATAAGGGGTGACTACTATTACATAAATACAAGTCTTCTAAATCCATAAATTCTTTTTCTTCTATACTGTACAGTCATATTGTCAGGGGTTTTATTTACATTAAAAGAATATGTGTTAGGTATACTTTTATTGTCAATGTTTTCTTTTATTGTGGTAAAATATATAAACATGAAATTTGCCATAAGTACATCTATAATGTTGTGCAACCATCACTGTTATCCATTTCCAGGACTTTTTCATTAGATGTGTTTTTTACAATGTATTTTAAGAAAAACAGCAATTCTATAGTAGTCCTTTATTCCCTCTCCAGGGAATTAACTTCATATTAAAGTTTCCATTATAAATAATTATATAGTTGATTTTCAAGATGAACTAATCCAACAATTTAGAATAATGTAGAAGAGGTGTTTTACATAATCAAGCTAAATTTATTTCAGTTCCTGTTTCTAAGTACAAATGAAACTCTTTTAATCAAGTTCTACTTGGTCAACTCCCTGGAGTTAACAAAGACGTTTTTAAAATATTCTGACTGATGTCCACAGTCACCTGTACACTCAGTCTAGGAGACAGCTCTAAAATAAAAACCACACTCTGCTTACTCCAGTTTAGTTTCAACTTGAGTAAGCGTCAGCTGTGTTTATTCCCCAAACATTTACGCCAACTGCATCTTAGTTATAGTTATGAGTTAATAAAATATTATGTACGGCTGAGATTTTATCAGTACAAAATAGAGATTTTGATTCCACAAAATTAATTTTAACCTGGCTGGTGTGGCCCAGGGGACTGAGCATCGTTCCATGGACTGAGAGGTCCCGGTTTGATTCAGGGTCAGGGCACTTGCCCAAAATACGGGCTCGATCCCCGGTGGGGGGCCTGCAGGAAGCAGCCAATCAATGTTTCTCTCTCTCCCTTCCTCTCAAAAAAAATCAATAAAAATGTTTAAAAAATTAATTTGAATGTTTTGAAAGAATTAAATAGAACAGGTTGTTAAAAATATCTGCTGTCAAATTAGGCCTAGGTAAGAATATAGTTAAGGATGAAAAAACATACAAGTCTGTAATTATGCCTGTAGATTGCTTTGTGAGTGAGGTGGGAAGAAGATTTTAAATATGAGGGGTCAGAGACAGCCGCTGTTAAAATGTATTTTAGTAAATTCCTGAATGAAGTATGAAAGAAACTCGCCTGGGGAGGAAGGCAGTAAGTGGCAATCTTCCAAGGCATGAGTGTGCTTACGATGCTTGGGAAACAGTGTAAGGCAGCCCTGTGTTTGGAGCCGGGAGGAGAGCGAGCATGCGAGGAGGTGAGACTGGAGAAGCAGCCACAGGCAATCACACTGGACTCAGGGGCCAGGCCAAGGACTCCACTTTTTACTTTGAGATGGGAACCCAGTAGAGGGTTCTGGACAGAGGAGCACACATTTTTAGGAAATTCTCTGTATCTGCTATGCAGGGGAAAGTCTGTGTAGACGAAGAAGTGGAAGCAGAAAATCCAGTAAAAGGCTAAATGTAGTTGTATGGAGGTGGTGACAAATGGTCGATTTTGGATTATCTACAGAAAGCACAACTGGGAGGACTTACCAATGGGGAAAAACAGTAAAAACAACAAAAGCCAGTAAAGATCAGAGTTACATAAAACTTAATGCATCAAAGAGCTAAAAAGGACTAGTCTGTAAAATTAAGTAAAAATAGTCACCAAAATATGTATTACCTTAGTTAAAAAAAAAAAAGCTTAATAAAAGGTATCATAAATTGTGACAAATAATGTGAAGCCATGACTTACTTTATTACAGGGCTGTTTTCAAACTTGAAAGTTTAGTTAACAAAAATTACATGGAGTATCCTTAAGATAATATTTATATTAAAACTAAAGGTACACAATTTATAAAAAATAATTATAGTTCTAAATAAATCCATTAGAAATATTATACGTTTCTTTATTAAATACTAGCTAAAAAAGCAAAACAAAATAACGATGAAA